TCCCATGCCCGTGTTCTGGGGTGGCAACTTAACATCACATGGTGCTATAGCACCCGCTTTTGCCGGAGCACCCTGCAACAAAAAAAGACGTAACACAATGCGCACTTGTCCCTGATTTTTACCACAAACAATGTCCTGTAGGGCTATTCAATCGCCTTTCTTCGTCGAATCTCGTAAAAGTGGCTGGAAGACGGACAATAAGGGGAGCTTGGCCCCCATCACCCTTACAGCCTTAGCGGTCGCAAAATACATTAAGACATGGGAAAATCCACCAACACATTTAGAAACATACGAAACTAAAAGCTTTGCTAGAGCCCCCCGAAATATAACAATTGAGACAATGGGCAATTATACTTAATTATCACGTACAAATGCCCTTTATTTCTGATTTTTATAAGCTATTTCCTTCACTCTGTTGGCGGGCATAACGCAATGAAACGGTTTACCATGTGGACTCATTTCAAAACGGCGTGATATAACCGAACGTGACGTGACAAAGGGATATTAAAAGTTTGTGGGTTAGGTTAGTGCGTGTGCCCTATGTATGTGTGTGTGTGTGTATAAGTATGTATGTGTGAGTATGTATATGAGGGTGTGTGTACGTGTGTGTGTGTGTGCGGTGCATGTACGAGTGTATATGGGTAGTTAATACCTAGTTATAGATGTACGTATATGTATATATTATAGTTGTATACAAGAAACTAAGGTTACACAATGTAGGATAAAATAGGGGAAATAATAAAAAAAAAGGATAGTGAGGCTCTGGTGAGTCGAAGCTCCTCAGAACAGGGTTGTGTGAAGAAAACAGCCATTCTGGATGCCAGAGATGGGGAGGAGTGCTTTTATACCCGGTGACCATAGACTGCAAAAGACTGTGTAACTCTGAAGGGAGTAGGTATCCAATGATTGAACCGGGGACCAAAGGTGTTGCGTTATGATGATGCAATGGCTCTTTACGCAATTTTTAACATTAAATCATTATTCACAGGCTGATTAAGCGTGGATGTCCTTTTTCTTGCCAATATCACTTCCTGATACATTCTGTCCGTAATTTCACTTCGATGAACTTCATTTGTAAAAC